AACATCGGATAGGCCCATCCGATACAAATATCTTGGCAGTGATCCCAAACCCCACTAAGTCCCCCCTATATATATATATATTTGATTACAAATAGATGTCATCATTTCACTCCTTAATTGACCAATTGTTCTTATTTGAACTCTTAACTCAACATCCTTTTTGTTTATAATTTTCTTGAACCCGCATCATACCTTTCCACCTCTACTCACCTACTGTAACTTGACTCATGTCCCATTAGTTTGGGGCAAAACTCCTTAATGAAGAATGTCACACCAAGCTTCTGATTAACCTCCTACTTCCTTTCCTGTCAACTGTCTACCACTCTGAAGAACAGCCATGAGTAACCTTTCCCTTGATTACCAGGCTTTAATAGATTTTTCTAGAGAAGGGGTGCCTAATGGCTAGTGAGCTCAAATGGCACCTTGAGCAAAGCATTTCCAACAACAAAAAGAAAAACAAGGTTGAAGAGCACCAGATACCCGGGTTTGAACCGGGGTTACCAGGATGCTAGGGCTCAGAACCTGGTGTCCTAACCACTAGACGATATCTGGCTTGCGGCTGGCCTTTTGCTCCCTGATTAGATGTGTTTTTTTGGTTGGTAAGGTAGATGTTCTGGTACTTCTGTTCGCGAGCTTTTATGTGGAAATGCAATGATGAAGATTTGAGTAAGATGGATGGTTTACTTATGTACTTAATTGTATGTATCTGCTCTGATCCGCCCAATCTCATCTCAACTGGATCTGCGTGAACGCCCTTGTTCCTCGAAGATGGGATTTGAATTGACGATCGGCAGTATGATTATAGTTTGTTTGGACTGCTTCAAATGCAAATCCCATTCAATCTTCTTGTCCATCGAAACTCACCTGTGCCTCTTCGCTGAGATAAGACATCCATCCACTTTTCGAGATTGTCCACTCTTGAGCCTGTGTGACGTCATAATTTTGTTTCATTCATCATCCTCTACTTTGAACGATGGTAGAATCCGCACCCTCAAAGGATGAACACGCCACGGGCGCTCACCCAGAGCCTCGCACTCAAAATATGGTAAAGCTCATCAATATCTGGCTGCGCCATGCTCAAGTGGCTTTCGAAACTCGGAACATTGAAGGGCTTGTTGAGCTCATTGACGACCAGGGCTACTGGCGAGACGTTAAGTATCTTGTTACAATCCAAATCCTTCATGTCCTACGTAGTTTTAAAGAAAGCTCTATCATCAAGACCATTAGCTCTAAACTCGTGCCTTCTTCATCTAGATCCTCACTCTCGACTTGGATTTTAACGCATTGAAAAAGTACGAAATCAAACCTTACTTTGAGTGCTTGAGCCTAGAGCTTCCCAGGTTCCAAAACCTCACCCTCGACCGACCTGAGTCTGTCCGTTTAATCAAAATCTATCCCGGAGTTGAGGTAATCCAAGGATTAATAAGTTTTGAGACGGAGAGCTATAAAGGATCGGGGTTAGTTCAACTTAGGATACCTAAAGGGTCGGATCTGGTCACCAATGGCAAAGAGGATTTGAAAGCCATGTTATTTTTTGTTGAGTTTTCTCTCAACACCTCATCTACTCTTCGTCTTTTACTGGTATCTTTTACGATCAGCTAATCGGACTTTATCGACAGACCCAGATATGGGAAGTCAAAGGGCACGAGGAGCGCATCAAAAGCCTTCGACCGCTGGGTACCACCCATACTTATGAAAAGGGCTCTCGAAACTGGCTCGAGATGCGCACGGATGAAATCGAATCATATGGAATCTCTGGTATCTATGCGTTCTCAGCAGCGAACCTCATCAAGTCTCACAAAGGCTGACCTTCCGTTCCACAATTTTAGCTCAACCCACCGTGCTGATCATCGGCGCAGGCCACAACGGACTGATGCTAGCAGCCCGGCTCAGAGTGCTCGGCGTGAGTTGCCTGCTGTTGGACAAGTGCGAGCGAGTAGGAGACTGTTGGCGTAAACGCTATCGTTCACTCTGTCTACATGACCCGGTTGGTAGTAGATTCTGATCTCCAAGTGATAAGACCTAGTGAGCTGTGATCATACTCAGTTTCTCACTCTTGACCCAGATCTCGGCCAGCCACTTTCCATACCTGCCTTATCCCGATAGCTGGCCAACTTATATACCCAAGGACAAGGTCGCGAGCTGGTTTGAGCACTATGCCGAAGCCATGGAACTGTCCATCTGGCTTCAGTCTACCATCAAGCCAGGGGCCACCTATGATGCCTCGACGGGTTCATGGTCAGTGGAAGTGAACCGTCCAACAGGCTCGCGTAAGCTTCGACCGAGATACCTTGTGATGGCCACAGGTCTGAGCGGAGAAGCGCAGTGGCCAACAAAATTACCTATCGAATCTTTCACGGGCACGCTCATCCATTCGAGTCAGTTTAAAAATGCGGCGGGCTGGGAAGGCAAGCAGGCGGTGGTGATTGGGGCCTGTAACTCAGCGCACGATCTAGCGGCTGAATTATGGGCCAACAATGCAGCCAGCGTCACCATTGTCCAACGCTCGAGTACATATGTGATGTCAAGGCAAGCGTCCGATTTTATTAGATGGTTGAGTGGATGTGGCTGAGTGTCAATATGGCGCATACTTGTGTAACCCACTATCAGTCAACATGGGATTGAGGTGCTCCTGAAAGGCACGTATGTGGATGGACCGTCTACTGCCGATGCCGACTTGGAGTTCACCTCTCTCCCGCTCAACGTGGTCGAGAATATCCATTCACGAAGCACAGTAGAGATTGCCAAGCGAGATCGGCCCCTGCTTGATTCTCTTACAAACGTCGGCTTCAAGCTGGATCCTTACCCAGGTGGACTGCTCATGAAGTTTTTCAGGTATATTCTCCGTCATTGTGTGAGAATATGCAAATGATTTTTCACTCACATCGTTCTCATTTACTATACGGTAGACGAGGAGGAGGATACTATATCGGTCAGAATCTCCTACTTTTTTATACCGGATCGACGGTGATCAGTGCTAATGGGACCCTGATTTGTTCTTCACTTTTAGACGTCGGCTGCTCAAAGCTCATCGCAGACCGCCAAATCAAACTGAAACAAGGTGTTGAGGTCACAGAACTGACTCCGAACGGAGTCCGCTTTACCGATGGTGAAGAAATTGAAGCAGATCGTGAGTTTTTTTTCGGACTTTTTAAAGTAAAACTCATCCCCAAATACTTTACTCACCTTATCCTATATATCTTATTCGACCTTTTGGGCGCGCGCGTATTGTTGAAGTGGTGGTATGCGCAACCGGATATAGCCCTCTTCGCGATTCGATAAGGACGGTTGTCGGGTCTCAGGTGGCTGATACGCTCGGGCCTATCTGGGGTACTGATACTCAGGGCGAGATCCCGGGTGTGTGGCGGCTGTGTGGTCATCCTGCTTTCTGGAACATGTGTGGGAACTTGTGAGCATAAATGATTACCTCTCTTTCCCGGTTTCTTCACGTAAAAGATTTTCGTAGATATTTTTTTTTTTTGGAGCATTCGGGCTGACTCACAATATTCCTGGCTTGAAAAAACCTATTTAAATTTAAATTTACTTGAAAGTGCATTGTCGCGTTGCTATTCCCGACATGTCGCTACTCAAATCCTCCTTCAGGAACTTGGAATTTATGATAAAAACTTTCCCGGTAGACTAAATAAGATAAAAATTGATTGAGGCCTTTATCGTTTATTTTCGAGACCCACATATCAGGAATGTTTTCTCTCTTTTTTTTTTTTTTTTTGCGTGAAACTGATAACTTTGGTTGACCTTTGACGGTGATGGAAGATATTTTCGAGTCTCCTTCAGGTTACCTAAATAAATGTGAATCGTTTGTTTCGAAAGTATTAAAACTTTGAATGAAAAAAGGACTCACCTAAAAGTTATATATATATAGTTCCCTTCATCATCTTTCATACATTATACTTTCTAAAGTGTTGTACTCCATTGATATTCCTATAAAATTATTTCCTGTCCTCAAAAAAAAATAAATATAAGAAATGTAATTCCAAAAAGCTATATAGGGTCCAAACTGTTCGCTTAACAAAAAAAAAAAAAAAACATTTTTTTTGATTAAACCAGATTTTGTTGTTGTTTGTTCAATTTTTTTTTTTAATTTTTTCAACGGAAGAAGGGAAGAGCCAAACAGTACCTGTTTTGCTTCTGCCTCAGACCTCAGGAGGGAAATTATCCATGTACAGGTACTGTGGAGCACATCTTTCAAATCACAACTTGGACATAACAACACAAATATGTAGGTAGTTTTTTTTTTTGAAAAAAAAATAAGACTGGATAAACTTTTTTTTTTCCAAAAAATCTAAAGACATTTTGTTAAAAATGCATCATCTCTTCAAAACCCTCACTAATAGTGAAAGGTGTGCATCATGCGCACAGATATATCTCTGTTCTCTTGACCAAGGCCAGACCTCCCCCCCCGCAGGAATTACAAAATTATAAAGTACACCTGTTCAGCGTGTGTTGCTCTTCATCATCAAGTCCCCTCAACCCAAAACTAAAACTAAGTAAAAAATACACTCTCTCACCCCTTCGTTTTTTGCATCATACATACAATTACAAGTTTCATCAGAGCAATGGAATAGAGCCTAAGACGGTCTGATAAGCCACATTCGCCGCCGCCTGTTTCTTCCCCCTCTCCTCATCCCCACTAACCTGATACAGCTCTACTCAGACCAAAAAAAGAAAAAAAAACCAGACGTTTTTTCAACTCCCTCTGCTGAAATCTGATGAGCAGAGATATACTCACCCAATAGTTTCTCACCTGCCCATAGCCCGAGCCAAGCCATCCCCACCTCTTGCTCCCGGAAGCCCGCACATGCCTTAGCACAGGATTGAAGCATTTTCAATGCTTGATCGGGGCGAGTGTTGAGAAAGAGATTGCCAAGGAGGCCGAGGAGGATAGTCTTGATATGAGTGTTGACGAGTGCGTGCGCGTGATCGAGTGCGTTGGTCAGGTAATGTCTTCAAAAACACCTTGTCAGCTTGAGTCTACCTCTCGAGAAGGTGGCAAGTAGAGGAAAAGAAGAGACTGACTTGGCGCGCACGATCGCGCCGCAGCGCATGGCTAAGACTACTTGGATGGCGAGCTCGAGTCGGCGTAGGACGGTGCCTTCAAGCAAACCAAGTTCTTTTGTTAAAGCTTCTGCTTCTCCCTCGTTACTCGCGATTAGCACATAACCCGCTTTGGCTAGCACGCCTATCTCTGCGCCTAAGCTCGAGCTTGGATGAAGAGCGAGGACGATCGAAGCCCTGAGTGAGGCCTTGGCCTGGGAGAAGTTCCCGGTCGCATGCGAGAGCATGCCTTTGAGAAATCCTATCCTCGCCCCGTACTTATCCCAACTGCTTGTCCTCAACGTCCACGCTATTACTTCCCACAGAGCCTTCATCTTCCAATCAGCATAATATACAAAGAAAAACCAAAAGATGAGCACATACCTCATCAGCGCCCAAGAAGTTCGAGCGCACAATTGCCAGCTGACTCCTCATCAACATCGCCTCTACCCACATCCGCTCCATCCTCCTTCCTTTTCCGATCTCTACTATAGCCT